AAAGACTGTCACAATTAAGTGTCTAGTTATTTCCACAGTTTGTTTCACTGAAACACATCTTGGTATAATTTCCTAGGAGAAAAAACTATTAAGGCAAAAATTCTTTAACTTGTTAGGGAGCTACTTATTTTTATGTTTTTATAAGTGGTGGTAGTCAAGGTGGTTGTTTCTTGTGTATTATACGCAGAACTGGAGCTGGTAAGTGGACTCGGCCCTTACTCATTAGATGAGCCTGTGGTTGGCATTACTGCTATCAGTAGATATACAAATTTGGGAACTTAGGATGGGTTTGGTTTTCAAGGGGAGTGGGGATTATTTTTAAGAACTTTATTTTCCTGGTAGGTTATACTTTCCTGGTAGAATTTATAAAAGAGAGAGTAATAGAAAGCTATAAATCAGTCTCGATATGGCTTCTTTATATCCTTATAGGAGTTCTTGACAGCCGATCTTTCAGATTCTTAAGGGTGGTAGTTCTATAATTTAGTTGTAATTTTGAAGTGGTTGTGAGAGGAGGTGAGCATAGTGGTTACCTACTCCACCGTATTGACCAGAAGTCCCTTAGAGTTTGTTTTTAAGTACCTTTATCAACTATTTGTAAGATGGCATTCCTCTTACCATTGAATTAAATGTAAGATTTAAGAATTTGTACATATAATCATAGGCAAGTTTGTTTCTTGTTTTTTTCTTGGTATTATGGAGCTTTTCCACCTACTTACATATCTACATATTTTTAGAGACAATTCAGTATTCTCTTATATTGTTATATTATGTATATAGTACTTATTGTACTTAGGATTATTTTGCATATTGCCCTATTACAGACCTCATATTTGCAAATACAATTTTTTGTCTGTGATTACCTCTTCAAAAGTATGTTAAGATATCTTAGGCTGTTTTTTGAGAATGTTTTTATCAGTTTACAGTACTGCTAGTTAGGTCTGAGTAAATAGTTTTTCATAGCCTCCCAGCACTGTATTGTTTTCATTGCTATTACTATGCAGATTTTGTCATTTATGGGGTCAAATTTCTTTTCACTGAAGAGTGTACTTGATTCGATGCCTGTTGATGGATTTTAGTTAGTATAAAAACTGGCATCCTTAGGAATCAGTAGATTAGATGAAGCAGAGGATCGAATCACCAATTTAAAAGATAAGGTAGCAGAAAGCACCCAATCAGAATAGCAAAAAGAATAAAGAATACCAAAAAAATGAGGATAGTATAAGGGACCTCTGAGATGACATCAAGTATACCATTGAATTAAATGTAAATTCACATGATAGGGGTACCAGAAGGAGAAGAGAGAGAGCAAGAAATTAAAAATCCATTTGAAGAAGTAATGATTGAAAACTTCCTTAACCTGGTGAAGGAAATAGACATACAAGCCCAGGAAGCTCAGAGAGTCCCCAACAAGATGACCCACTTGAAGACACATCATCATTAAAATGCCAAAGCTTAAAGACAGAGAATCTTAAAAGCAGAAAGAGAAAAGCAATTAGTTATCTACAAAGGAATTCCCATAAAACCGTCAGCTGATTTCTCCACAGAAACTTTGCAGGCCAGAAGGAATTAGCAGAAGATATTCAAAGTGATGAAAAGCAAGGAACTGCAACCAAGATTACTCTACCCAACAAGGCTATCATTTAGAATTGAAGGACAGATAAAGAGTTTCCCAGAGAAGAAAAAGCTAAAGGAGTTCATCACCACCAAACCAGTATTACAGGAAATGTTGGACTTCTTTAAGAAGAGGAAGAAGAAAAAAATTAAATTAAATTAAATTAAAATAAATTTAAAAAAAGAAAAAAAAAGCAAAAATAGGAATCATCAAATGACAGTAACTACGTATCTGTCAACAGTTACTTTAAATGTAAATGGTTAAATGCTCCAATCAAATGATAGGGTTGCTGAATGGATAAGAAAACAAGACCCCTACATATGCTGCCTACAAGAGACTCACTTCAGATTGAAAGACACACAGACATAGAGAGATGGAAAAAGATAGTTCACGAAAATGGAAATGAAAAAAAAAAGCTTGGGTAATAATATGTATATCAGACAAAATAGACTTGAAAACAAAGGCTATAACAAGAGACAAAGAAGGACCCAGTTATCCCATCTTTTGGGTATTTATCTGAAGAAACCTAAAACACTACCAAGGGGAATGTGAATCCATATATTCATTCCAGCATTATTTACAAAAGCCAAGTTATGGCAGCAACCTGGGTGTCCATCTGTAGATGAATGGATAAAGAAGAGGTGGTACATATATACAATGGAATGTGACTCAGCCATAAAAAAAAAGAATGAAATCTTGCCATCTTCAGCAACATTGTTGGAACTAGAGGATATTGTACTAAGTGGAATAAGACAGAGAAAGACCAATGCCATATCATTTCACTTGTGCAATCTAAAGAATATAAACAAACAAAACAGAAACAAACTCATAGAGAACATTTTGATGGTTGCCAGATGGGAGGGGGCATGGTGAGGTGAGTAAAAAGGGGGAAGGAATTAATAAGTACAAATTAGTAGTTACAAAATAGTCATGGGATGTAAAGTATAGCATAAAGAATATAATAATATTGTAATAACTGTATGGTGTCAGGTGGGTACTAGCTTTATCATGGTGAGTGATCACTTCGTAAGTTACATAAGTGTCTAATCACTGTTGTACACCTGAAACTAAAATAATATCGTATGCCAACTGTAATCGAAAAATTAAAATTTTTTTTTAATTAAAAGAGTAAAACAAAAACAAAACTCTGGCATTCTCAGAACTGCATTCCTTTGCTCTGAGCAGACAGTGCTTCTGGGCCGTTGCATTCATCCCCAAACCCGGAGAGTAGTTATTGCAGGTCAGAATAGATGAATGTAAATAAAGCTCTCTCCCCTTCCAGAGGACTTATTTAGGCATGCTTTGTGTGAGCTTTCTCAGTTTACTTTAGCCTTGCTCTGTTGACATCGACAGTCACTATAAAATCAATAGAGCTGCGTTATAGAAAATGCAGAGAGAGAGAGAGAAACAACTTTCTAACAGAGCTGGTGTTTAGGGCCACCTGCTTTCCTTCTTTATGGGCACTTTGAAGATCACTCTTGTGATCATGTGTAGAACATAGTTTTGACTTCTATTCTCTTACTACCAAGTATTGTACCATGTATTCCATGTATTCCCCCCCGCCCCCCCCCCCCGTTATTAAGTAACATTAGACAATATTCATTGAATGGATGTACCATGGTTGATTTTTGTTTTTAAATACCATTCTCCTATTATGAGCATTTGAAATTGTGCAGGTATATATTTTGCAGTGAGCATATTCTGGGGATAGGCTGGTGGGTGGCAAGGTTTATTTTCCTTGGCAGATTCCTAGAACTGGAATTTCCAGGTTAAAGGAGACGAACGTTCTGTGATTGCCCTTTGACTTTGCTCTCATGGAGACTGTTTCCTTCCTCAGGAGGGAACACTGCTTCCTCTAAGACAGCATGTCCATCTCCCTTAAGAAAACAGACCTGACCTATTGTCTGGAAAGCCACGCTTAACTCTATCCCCAGCCTCACATTGGAGCCAGAAGCTTATTTTGTACACCAACTCCTTTAACAAGAAACATTCTCTAATGATTTTTTAATTTAGAATTCTGTACACACCATGATTACAATTCTGTAGACGTAGCATTTTTTAAGAGCATACATGGAAAGAGTAGAGGCCAAAAGAAAAGTCCTTGAGGGTGGGATTTCAGGTCATTTATCTTGTGTTTGTAATTTTCTGTATTGTTCATTTATTTTCTCTATGACTAAAGAGAAAGGATGTGTTTCTAAACTGAGTTGAATAAATGGGTGAAACAAACTAAGCCTTCTGGGAAGACCGGTCTGTAATGCACATCATGAGAAAATTCACTATGTTGGTCAAATTATAATAGGAGAAAGGGAGAAATTGGCGCTTGTATGAGGGGTGCCCATCGAGTGCTTACATGCCTCCACTCTCTGCTACTTGCAGGACTCTGGCTTGCTCTGGGCCCGAGAGGGTGTGGGAAATGGGGTGCAGCCTGACTGTGGAAGCTGCTGGGGCAGCCACTAAGGACACCCAAGGAGGCCTCTCTTTGGGCAGGGGTGAGGTGTCCTGTGAAAATTTCAACAGGTAATCTAGTTAGTCACAATGTAAATTATGTGGACCTTTTGGCGATCTGGCTTAAAAGTAACTTTTCTCCTATTATGAAAAAGGCTGTTACAGTTACAGACCCCTTACCAGCTTGTTAGTCATTCTGTTATGTCAGTCAGGGCTGCTTGTATTTATACTGCAGCTAGCACATTTTGAAAAGAGTAACTTCCAGGTTTACAAATTGATGTCCTCGTATCTTAGATTCTTCAACAAATATGTAGAAATGGATAGTATTTGATTTAGGTTGGTGGCTAGAGCTGTCTGTGTCATCTAGAATAGTAGCCACTGGCTACTTGTGGGCATATACCTTGAAAGTCACACTAATCACATTTCAAGTACTCAGAAGCCACATAGCTAGCAAGTACCATAGTGGACAGTACAGGTAAAGCACATCTCTACCACCACAGAAACTTCTCTCAGATAGCACTGTTCTTTGCATGGTAACATGTGAAATAGTCATCCAAGGAGTTTAAATCGTGTGTATCTTTCAAGTTTTTATTCTTCAAGCAAATTTGCAGACTGCAAAAGATAACAAGTTGGAGTGAGAGTGCCCCTGTCAGTCTTTGCGAAGGAAAACATTTTGAGTGCATTCAACAGGCTGCATTTAATGAAACTTAGGACTGATGTGAATGAAATATTTTCTTTTAAGTTAATGCCTATTTACATTTGTCAAACTTACTTGAAATGTGACACACATATGCATATAATGATTATTTGAGGAGGAAAGTTAGCCACCTTTGTTGTTGCATAATATTGAGCAGGTAGGTATCTGCTTCCTTGAACCTGCCTGGACCATCAGTGGGAAATGCACATCTGGAGCTTTCTTGACAGTGCCTGTTTTTCCCTGTAGGAGAACTGCGGCACATCACCAAGCTGAAGCCCTGGAGCCTCTTTGATGTACTTGTGGAAAAGTATGGGTGGCCCCATGAAGATGCTGCACAGTTTACAGATTTCCTGATCCCGATGTTAGAAATGGTTCCAGAAAAGCGAGCCTCAGCTGGCGAATGCCTTCGGCATCCTTGGTTGAATTCTTAGCAGATTCTACAAATATAGCATTCTGAGCTAGCAAATGTTTTCCAGTACATTGGACCTAAACGGTGACTCTCATTCTTTAACAGGATTACAAGTGAGCTGGCTTCATCCTCAGACCTTTATTTTGCTTTGAGGTACTGTCGATTGACATTTTGCTTTTGTGCACTGTGATCCTGGGGAAGGGTAGTCTTTGTTTTCAGCTTAGTAGTTACTGACCCACTCTCTTCTGGAAACAATAACATGTCTCTAAGCATTGTTTCTTGTGTGACATTCAAATGTCAGGTTTTTTTGAACGAAAAATACTTTTCCCCTTGTGTTTTGGCAGGTTTTGTAACTATTTATGAAGAAATATTTTAGCCGAGTACTATATAATTTACAATCTTAAGAAATTATCAAGTTGGAACCAAGTAATAGCAAGGAAATGTACAAGTTTATCTTATGGCAAAGGGACATCATTCCTGTATTATAGTGTATGTAAATGTACCCTGTAAATGTTAATTTCCATTAAATATGGGATGGGGACTCCAAATTCAGAAAAGCTACCAAGTCCTGAGTGCTTTGTAGCCTGAGTTGCATGTAGCCGACTTTGCTCCAGGAAGTTGTGCAAACTTTTCATTCCATAATAATCCTTTTTCATTGGATTTTAAACAAAGTGGCTCTGGGTTATATCATTCCCTATATGGCACTTTAAAGAAAAATACATGGTTCTCATTCTAGAGTATGTATTATAGTTTAGCACTCCCCTTCCTATTTTTGCATATTTTAAAAACACTTTTAAAGAAAAACAGCAATTTCTCTTTAAAAATGCGATGGCCCGGTACCATGTGGTGTTGCCTCCTCCAAGCACTGTAAGTTAAAACTCTACATAGATTAAACTGGACAAGAGAAACATGTTCAGCGTGTGGAATGAAAATATATATTTTTTTGGAAAATCTTGTTCGTGTTTGTCTAGAACCAAGGCGTGGCATATACAGTGTGCAGTGCATTGGGCAGAATACTACTAACGTCTCAGAGGTAACAGTGATTGCGTTCATTCCATAGGCAGTTTTATGTGTGGCTACAACTAATTTTACTAGTTTTTTGATTGTCTTTCCATGCATTGAAGTTGAGAAAATGATTTTCCCTTTGTAGGTTGCACATAATTTTGTTTATGCATTTCCTTAAAATTGTAGAAACCAGGACACAAACCATAGTAGGCAATACAATTTTAGAATGTAATATACAGAGGTATATTTAGCCTCTTCTAGAAGTCAGTGGATTGAATGCCAGTTTTTTTTTTTTTAATTTTACATTCATTAAGGTGCCTCTTTTTTCTTGACCTTGTCCATTAACATTTATCCATATGCCTTTGCAATAACTAGATTGTGAAAAGATAACAAGTGTTGTAACAATAATCCATTGTTTGAGGTGCTTGCAGTTGTCTTAAAAATTAAAGTGTTCTTGGTTTTTTTTCCAGACATTGCCTTGGTCATTGGCCTATGTTTGAAGCGATAGAATTAACAAACATTCGCTATCCTTTTAGTGTAGTAACCCAATTAAAGGAAATATCAACATTTCTGTTTCAGGAAATGTAGTTCTATAACATAAATTAAGGCTTATCATAAGGAAATCATTCATTGTTTTGTGAGGGTATAGAATACAGATTTAGAAAAGATTCTGTAGTGTAAAATTAATACCTAGAATTTCAAAGATCCTTTTCATTCATGTTTCATCAAAAACATATTAATTACATTTTGTTTGAGCATTGTAAACTTTTTTTTATAACTGTTTACTGTGAGGGAACAAGACACATAATCCTCTTAAGAGTTAGCATTATATCACATATCACTGTGAGGTTGAACATACCATTCATTTATGAAATGTGCTTCTACGTTTTTTAATGAGGCTATAGGTTACATTAAGTTCAATGACAGATGGTGGCTGTAGACCAGTGATGGTATCCACCATTTCCATAGGAACCATTCTACAAGAACCACAGAGTACATTTATGTGTTCTCTAAGAATTTTTATCAAGGCTATAGCTCACTGTAATGAAAATTTGTCTAATGCAGTTTTGGCTGTTGGGAAGTAAACAAGATTTTTGTTAATGGTCTGTCCATTATGATAAAATAACAAATAGTTTACAGTGTAAAAATCAATTGTTCTAGAAGGAATATACATTTGTATTTAATATGGTTTTCACCCGGTTCTTGGTAGCTTTACGATAATGCATATAAGCTAAGTGAGAACCACGTTATGCAAAACACTGTAGCCAGCTCAGTGATTTTGGTTGAATGCTCTATCTTTTCCTTTCTCTAGTCGCATGTGAAGTCTTCATGGAAAATGACAAGCAATGGATCACTTATGTGATTATAGCAAATTCAGAAGCTGGCTGTCTGGAAATTAGAACTGCCCAAAGGCAGAGAAAAAATGGATATAGGAGCTTCAAAAAAGCATACTTTTTTAGGTGAAAACTGATTTATTAACTTCTTCCTATAACTGGATCATACATAACTAGTTAACAGAAAAAAAAAAACCTGTTTTTACTGGGGGTAGAGAACTTCAGTTTGTATCTACAAGTTGAAATTCTTAAATTCCACTTTTTTCTTCCATTAATTTTTAATTTTATGAAATTTTGGCAGAGGAAGTATTTGAGAGTGTATGTATCCTTCATTAAGGAGACAAAGAATTATATAAGATTCTTCAGTTTATAGAAAAGCTTCTGTATACATTATTTATGTAGTGGGCAAATTTAAAACTGAGGAATTAAAAATCCTTTAAAGAGATGAATATTGCTGTTTCACTATGCGAGTTAACTTTTTCTTTTTGAAACTATCAGGGGATGGATGATGTAAAGACATCATCTTAGACAAGTGTTTCTTTAGCGAATACCATAAATAGAATTTTGTTTGATAAAGGATGGTAAAGTTGACCTAAGTTCTTTTAAAACGTGAAGCTGATTAGGATTCCTAAATGCAGCTGTATTAATGTATTATCAATAGTTAATTTTTAAAAGGAAATAGAAATTAAAAGTGAAAAACATGAGTTACAATACTGTCAAATCTCAAGTCATTTTAGTCTTTTTTCTCTGATGCACAGAATTTTTGAATACTGTGCCAAATTATGTCAAGTAATTGGCTAATGATAAATGTGTTGACTCAAAAACTGTCATTTCTACTGGTTATGCTTACTCCTCCTGAGAGGTAGAAGACAAAAATAAGAATTTTTTTATTTTCCAAAATAACTACCATTTTACATTTTAGCAGTAAAGTGTTCACTTGAGAAGCCATTTTTATTTCACTTGAGAGATCTAAGATGCCTTTTTCCTTTAATTTTGTATACCCAAAACAAATTTTAAAAATTCCCTATTTTTAAAAATAGTATAGCTTTACAGTAAATGTTAATTTAAGGTTTTCAAATAATTTTGATTAATCTATAGGACATTTCAGTCGTTTAAAATGTACAAATTAGATATTCCTGTTTTTAGGCAAACTACTCCATATTTTCAAATAGTTGTACGTTATAATTTAGAACTATTATGTGTAATGCTTTAATGGTATGGTTCATTTTGTATGTCACAAATAAGTAAACGTACAGAGCTTTTACATAATATGGTTTCTTATGGCTCTTGCTCCTGCAAAAATGGTAAGTAGGAACATTACAGGAACAACCCTTACTGCCTCCTGATGCTTGCTATAGTCCAGATGAGGTAGTAGTCGCTGAATAAAATGGAAGGCTCCTTATAAACTATCTGGAAAATGTAACTTTTGTAAAAACACTTGCTTAAAGAGACCCCAATCTCAGAAGTTGTACAGGACAATTTGGTAAAACTGACATAATTGTGATTTATTAACATGAATTAAAATGCCCAACCAGTGCTTCAATGTGACAGTATATTTAAAATAAAAAAGAAATTAAAGGCCATATACTGTACTACTTTCACAAAGATCACACAGTTTTGCAAAGACTTGTCATATGTACAATGCTATATATCAAATGAGAAAAGCTGTAAGCAATTATATACGCAAAAGAATGCAGTTATTTACAGTTTGTCAGGAGACATTAAAAATCATCTATACATTAAATTACATTTTGCTTGCAAATAACCGATAAAACAAAATGAGCCATGTCCACACCAAACTATAAAAATCTGTATTGCATTTTTATATCTAAGATGCACTCACAGAACTGCTGACAGAAAAAAATGAAAATCCTCATAGTGCCATTACTTAGCTCTGTACTTAATGCATATGTATAAAATAATATAGAAAAACATCCACTAAATGAATTTAACTGCAACAATAAAATTTAAAGATGTAGCATCAATTCTACTGCCAGAAACACAGCTGGAATGTTCACTTAACAAAATAAAGATACCTAATACTGGCTTAATAGCACATTTTTAAAGAAATTTTAAAAAGCAAAAGTGGGAAAGATACAATGAAAGAGCACTGGTGTTTTTTTTTTTTTTTATACAAAGTTTCATGTACAAGCTTTAAAAAGTACCTTAATAGGTACATATGAAATATACAGTTTATTTTACAGAACATTTTAAAAAATGTTTTTGGAGTCCATTTTAATGCCACCCTGAACCATGATAATTGTTCTGAAATGTTGGTGGCACCTGTGCTCTGTGAATTGGAATCTGTCCAGGTACTGGAGATGCCTGCTGAGGTCCTTGAACCCCATGTGGCAGGGCCACAGAGCCAGGATGAGGACAGAACCCTGAAGCAGTAGGTGTTGGAATACTGTTTGGTCCTTGGGGCTGGATATGAGGACCTGCGACCGGCAACGGACAATGTGGCCCTGTTCCAGAAGGCTGGTGTTGGGCTCCCGGTCCCAAAGTGGTATGATGTGTAGCTTGTGAGGGATATGGTGGTACAGCTGGATGAGCACTGGAAGGAAAAAGTGGAGGTCCTTGATGAGGTGGATGATGTAAGGCTTGAGCTGATGTAGTATGGTGCCCAGAAGCCAAAACACTGGCAGGCGGAGGAGGTGGTGGTGGGGGCGGTGCCGAATTTACAACATGCTGGTGTTGTGCTTGTAGACCTTGGAGTCCTGTGGAAGGATGGGGTGGTGGATGGTGATGAGGGGCAGGACCAGGAGGTGGAGGGGGTGGTGGCAAATGGTGTCCAGCAGTTTGAGAATGAATATGTGGCCCAGGGGTGACAGCGTGAACAGGCCCTACTACATGTGCTACAGAGTGTTGCTGATGGGAACTCGGCTGTTGTACAAGGTGTGGTCCTGGAGCAGGCGGTGGGGGAGGAGGGGGCGGGACCACAGCAGCAGCAGTTTGATGGTGAATAGTAGGGTTCTGAGAAGGCAAAAAATGCCCTGGAGTAACATGGTGTCCTGGAACTGTTTGCTGGCTTGTGGTGCCTGGAAGTGCTTGATTTGGTCCTGATGTAAACACAGTTTGTTGGGAAAGACTACCTTTAAGCTGATTATAATTCTGAAAGTTCGCAGAGGGCTGCTGGTTTTGATAATAAGACGAAGAAGAAGGAGGCGGAGGGGGTGGGGGTGGTGGTGCCGCGGTGTTCAGACTTTGTTGGTTAAACTGACTGTATGTTGCTGTAGATTGTCCTGAGGGTGTCTGTGTAAATAATGCTCCAGAAGTTGCCTGCTGTGTATTGGCTTGAAGGTTCTGTGCTGCTGGATAAAAGTTTCTCTGAGGCTCTCGCTGAGGTGTTCCAACTTGAGGTGACTGTGAATGATGAGGCCTGTATGGAGATCCTAACTGCTGTGAAGGAGGCTTTGGTGAAAGATAACCATGCTGGACAGGCGTGTGAGGCGTCGATGACTTTGGAGGATTTTCTATATGAGGTGATGGAGGACAATGCAACTTCACTGGTGCAGAAGACAGCTTTTGTGAAAGTTGCTCAGATGAATTACGAACGAGTGGCTGAGGAGGATGATTCTTTGAAAGTGCCTGGGTGTTATTTAATAGCTGTTTTTGTTGGAGTTCGGTTTTCAGGTGAACACCATTCTCAGCTTCTGACACAATAACTGTTGCCTCCCAATGGGAATCTGGTTTTGTGAGTATTTTCCCATGTGGTTGGAGAGGGATTACAGGTCCCGGTGAAGCAGGCTATGAAAAGAAAACAAATATAAACTATTTACATAAATTTAAGAAATAAAAATGTTATGTTGGTATTTAATGTTACTTAAAGGAATAAGTTTTGAGAAGTCAATTACAGAGGCATGGGATATTTAGGTAGTTCAACAAGTTCTAGTAATAAGCTTAAACTGAATTCCCCGAATTAATTTTTATTGAAGAAAAGTTAAGGAAATCATAGATTTTTAAATTTAATCTGCTTCCCCCCGCCCCAAGCAATGAAGCCTGTTTTTTGAGCCTTATTCTGCAAGAACTCTAATAACCCTAGACTTAGCAAGTTTCAAATCCATAACTGAAATTTCTATACCCAACATAATCATAATTGCTTTGGGTAAAAGTAAACTTGTTCCCTGAAACCATTTTGGTTGTAATATTTTTTATGTTGTTCAAATGTAAATAATCCAAGTACAAGACTACTTATATGATGTTCTTTAAGGAACAAGAAAATCAATCTCAGATTCCTCGTCTTTAGTTTCCAAAGATACTGCCACATTAGATTATCACATCTTTATGATCCAGGATAGAGACAGCATTCCTTTTAAGTGAATGTAACTTGACATTTTGTTTTTAGAAGACTAAGTGGTTAAACTTAATGAAAAAAACAATGAATTTCCTAGACACCAAAAAGAATAGAGTTCTGGCTCTTGGAAAAAATAAGCTACTTAAGTACATTTAGCACATTAGAAAGTTTGGTCAAATTTTCAAAGAAAAGTGCCCAGATACCACAAACTGATACTTGGTATAGCAGAAAAATCTCTGTGTGCATATTACCATCCGCTTTTCTGAATGGCCATGTTCAAGGTCAATGTTATTACCTTGCTCATTTTTGAAGGGCTTTTACAAGTATTTTGACAAGTATCTGGAGATGGGCATTCATTTGTAGTTATGGGTTCTAGATTTTCAGGATCAGGATCTGTAAAGCAGAAAAAACCTATGGTAAATGTAAAATTCCATGATAAATATTGTCTTTTTCTGATACTACAAAGGTATGTGCATTCTACTATTCAAACCAACTTTTTATAAAGGTTTTCTCCTTTCTGATTTAAAAAGATATTTAAAACAATAACCACGATAGGTCATCTGCTTACTGACCTTCCATAAGTTCACTGAAAGAAGGGACTGGGCCCTTGGGTTGCAACTGGGGAATGTGATTTGAATGAGATGAAGGTGAAGACGGAATATGACTCGGTGAACATGGGACACATGGTGATTCTCCCCCTAGAGATGAAGCAGAAGCAGACCCAAAGAGAACATTAGAACTGCAGAGAACAAGGGTGCAGAGTGATTAGCTGACTCCACCTTTTGGCAACAAAGTCACTTACCACTATCTTTATCTTTTCGGTGATCACTGAGAAGTAAAGCTCTCTGGTAACTCCTTTCTCTCACTTGCTCTACTGAAGTTGAGGCAGTCCTTTAAAATAAAATCCTATCATCAATTCAAAGAAGCTACTGCCAGCTAGAGTATGTCCTTTGATAGTTAAAACATGTCCTCTCAGAGCAAGGCTTTTGCCCTTCTGGGAAAGCACCTTGGTGTTAAACTTTGAAAACACTTTGTCTAACAGCTTTCAGCTTTCAAAACAGATTTTATCCTCATTTGGAGTACTCAATTGGACTCTATTCCTTTGTCTTAAGTGATTTCTTTGTGAAAAGGCAGGGGGTGGTGAAAAAGAGGAGGGCACGGAGCTGGGGGAGAAGTTGGAAGGTAGTATATTAACATTCAGAATTATCACTCCAGATTACCAAAGCTATCAAATGTACCCTTTACACATTATCTTGTGTCTGACTATACAGCTAGCAGGAAGCTCTCAGGCTTGTAAGGAGACCAACAAGCAAAGTGAATGTGGCCTCCCGCCCTTTGCTAAGACCCATCCTATATCTAACTTTTTCTACTCCATCTGAAGAAACACTAAACTCGATTGTTCTTTCAAGATAACTGG